TAGACCTTACCTTGAAAGGGCCTAATTTTCCATCTTTACTCCGAGTACCCTCTGGGAAGAAAAAGACAGATGCCCCCTTCTTGACTAGATCTATGCATCGCTTGAGACATTCCTAAATTCATAAAAGCTAATAAGCAGGTAGAAATTCAAACTTCCAATAGGATTCAAACCGATTTAAAAATGTCAAACTGTCGACATATGATTGAATAACTTAAAAAGAATCAGCATAGGCATGAGGATATGTGTTAGTAATCACATCAAAGAAAAAGTACCAATTGACTTCTGCTGTCCATGCGCCTCAACGGAATCAGACCCATCAGATACATGGCCCATCCAATAATAGGAAAGAGGAAAATCGCAGTCTTGCTGATAAACTTGAAGTTTCTTCTAAGAGTAAGTAACGTATATATGTCCAGAAAGCTCTGATGGTTGGACACATACACAGCAGGAGTATCTGGAGAAGGGAGATTCTCCAAGCCCTCAAACTCAACGTTATAAAATGGAGTAATGGTCAAGGTTGCCCATGTCCGGGCAACAAGATGGTGAGCATTTCTACGGCATCGATCAAACAAGAGTACAAAAGGATGTTGCACAAGCATGACCACGAACAAAAAGATGGAAGAGAAAGCAGTGACCGCGTAAAAGCAAATCGCTCTCACTTTCGAACTCAACTCCAGTCCTGTAAAAGAGAAGATGTATCTTTGTAAAAGATGAAGCCTCCAAGCAAACAAAGGAAGTGGGTAAAGCAATTTTGAAATGCACCTGACAGAGGATAAGCAGCACCAGCTGAGCTGGTATTAGCAAGTTCGGACCTAGCAATAATGTGCCTCAATGATCTTTGTTGTCTATAAAAGCTATTATTTCCATAACTGTTATTACACTTCTTTCCTTGGGGGAAAGAGTGAAGGGAGACACATGCTTGTCTACTTGTGCCAAAAACTGTACTGCCTGGGAGGGCATCTGCAAAAAATAAGCAAAGTTAATTAGCAGATGAAATCCGGGATAACTATTCAACATCAAATACACAAAAATAAAACCAAAAGAGCATGTGCGGAAAGTCCAATTGAATAATCCATGAGAGCCAATCAAAAACTCTTGAAAACCAATCAAGTCGACAAAAGCGGAGTCACTTTTCTTCTAATGTCTGAAGAGAGAATCGACCAAGCAAAGACAATTGATATCTACCGAGTACGTTAGCCGAAGACTACAACTTCCTTTTAATAATTAATAACCTTCCTTTTCTTCTGAAACCTAACAAGACAAAATTTTAAGGTGGCGTTTGCTTCAGTTTTGCAAAAGTTAAGTTTCGAATTGTTTCAGTTTTTGCAAAAACTGTTTGTTTGATGAACTTTTTGCAAAACAGGCAACCTCTTTTTGGAAGTTTACACACTCAGTTGATTTAATCTTGCAAAAAGTCAATACTCATTTTTGCAAGATTTGGAAACTTCCACAAAAGGTATCTATTTTTTAAAACACTCCATCAAACCAACATTTCCTACAAAAAACTGAAAGAAAAAATTCCAAACTCAATAGATCTCATCTTTCCTAGCTTATAAAGAAAAGGTCGTCTTTCCTATCCGAACAACTTGTTCTACCTTATTCACCATTCACTTTTTTTTCATTTAGTATTTCAAATATCCAGCATATATGGTAGGAATATTGGCAGAGCAGTCCAATCATGTGAAGGCAAGTCTAAATCAGCAAAGTCACTTCAAAATGCAAAATATTAATGAATCTGGTTGTTCATCCTTTTGGCTTGGTTGGTCTCATTTCCTTGAGATCCCTAAGTGATTTCAAATTATTTCTGATTGTCTGTCTTAATTAGCAAGTCATAAGCTTAACTGGAGCCACTCTCAATGAATTACAGTATAACAGAAGTTATCTGCTTCTAAGCACAGGTCTACATAAATACCAAAGGAAGGAGGAAACAATCTGATTAGGACCCAATTTCGGGCATATTAGCTCAAGCAATTCCTTGGGGATGCTTTGTCTCAGATAACCCAGAATGATTCAGCCACCAATTAGATCATGGCTTTTTTTTCAAAAAAAAAATATATACGCTACTTTATCGATTGCATATTTTGCTTGAGTGATTTATTTGTTAATGATGTAAAGCTACTCATGAGATTCATTCCACAGGAACACAGTATTTGATAAACAACTTACAAAATGTTGAATTCCTCCCGATTGATTGCCTTAAAGAAGAGCAACAGGAGTGGTTTCCATCGCTAGCAGTCAATTGCTGAAATGAATTGTCGAACAAAGTCAATTAGAGAAGTCGAAAGAAATTCTTTTGTTCATTTTTACACTGTATCTTGTACTGACACACATAAATAAAGGGGAGACTGAAGTTAGGCACAGAAAAGATTTACCTAGCTTTTGAATGAAGAAAAAATTGTCAATGGCATAGTCAACAATTGCAGTTATAGCAAATTTGGTCTATGATTTATTGTTTTCCCTTTACAGAGTCATGTATAGAGGGATCTACCCCAGCTCTTAGACAGCTTTATCATTACATAAAAAACCTTCATATCAAGATGTTCTCAACCATGGTAAAAAGGACTGACAATAGTTGTTGCTAGTAGTGACATACCACTCCCTCTTGTTTCTCAGAAATGATAAATACCATTTGCAAATGTTATTTGGATTCAGCATGAAAAAAATAACATTATAGCCATGGACAGCCACAGAGTTTGTGCTTACTTTGTACATGAACAGAGAGAAATAACCTTCTCCTGAAACCAAAATTGTACGGCTATTGGTGACATGCATTTAAACATATTTCTCCTTAGCTGTTCTAAATTCCTTTTTTGATTGCCAAGTATCATCCCCCCCCCCCCCCCGGCTCACAATTAGACATATTTTAAGCTAATTTTAAAAAAGGGCAGCCCAGCGCACGAAGTATCCCGCGTTCACGCAGGGTCCGGGGAAGCGCCGCACCCCAAGGGGTGTGGTGTAGGCAGCCTAACATTTTAAGCTAATTTTATTACCCAAAAAAGAAAAAGTAGAAGGAGAAGCTTTTACATATAAATAAATAATTAGATAAATTCTTCAAGAAGCTAATTTTATCTCTAGTAACACCATGCGCCATCTTTTTAATATTTCAATAAATAAGCAACAGTTTTATGAATAACAGAAGCCAAGCACTGGGATAGTGCTGGACATTACAAAAGAGGAGTTCATCCATTTAAACCTTTTCACTATTGTATTGAGTTAATAGATTCTATCACACTCTCTATTTCATACACATGATGTAAATTACACCAGAGAACCAATTACTTTTAAGATTTATATTTTTAAACAAGTACAGTTGTATCTTGCCCCACGAAGCATCTCTAGTTCCTTCCCTTCCAAGTAATCTCACAACCACAAGCTGGAACTGTTTCCAAATATGCCTCAGTCATTTTCTGCACTTTCAGCCCATCGCCCCATCCAGCACCAAAAAAAACTCCTTGACAGCATTGGTGTTGTCACTTATTGCACCCCAAAAATGTTTAAAAATAGTGGCTGTCCAGGACTATTCATCAAATAGATGTTTGTTGTCCTCGATATCCTTTGCATCGTAACTATACAAATCATTTTTAATACCAATATAGTAAAATAGATCTCTGCTCTAGCAATCGTGAAAATTAGGACAAAAGGAGCACCATTTACATAGAGCTATGTGCTTGAATTGTGTAGATGGATTTCTTCATTTCATAACATTTTCCATCTAAGCTCTCTCTCTCCATATCTCTTCCCTCCTTTACAGCCATAAAAAATCTCTCATGCTTCTACATACAGAATTCCGCCATTTAATTAACAAGTTTTAGAAACAAAATATTTGGATGCAACTCCTCAAAATTCTCCAACTATTCAACAACACTCATATTTAACTTGTCTGTACCCATGATCCAATCAATTGGAAAGTCGAGCTCAACGTGGTCATAAATGTCTTCATCACATCTTGTCACAAGCGTAATGTTTGTTGTCTACAAAAGTGATATTCCAACCTTATAGAGTGTTGCTATCTCAAATTTTATAGTATTCAAAAGTAATAAATGAAGAAAATTAGCTTTTCATAATATAGGGTTGTAGGTTATGCTCAACAAACTGATTGCTGATCAACAAAGGATTCAGCCATGCAGAACAAACTCATAACTGCATCACTCTCCTTAGATTCTACAATACTATCAGGTAAGCTTCCTCAGAATATGATCAGGTAAAATTCTTCCTAAGATTGTTTGTTATTGGAGAGACAAAGTTCAGATAAGTGAAACTTCATTCAGTTGGGAAAATGATTTTCTAGCTTCCAACAGTTCTCAGTAAGAATAAGAATTAGCAAAGACACAAACCTACATTATTTCCATTTCCAAGTTAGAGCAAACTTTAAGGCATAGGCTTATAAAAGTAAAACGACTCTTTTTTTACGCTCTACCAACTGAATCCAAGTGTACTTCGTCAAGACGTCAACCACTACTCCATTCCCGCAGGTTCACAATTGACTGCTAGACATTCCCAATTTTCATCAATATAGTACTAGTTATTGTTATGCCATTTCCCATATAGTTTTCTTTTTTTTTTTTTTCCGGGATTAAAGACTTCCTAAGGAAGAGGAGCCTTGGCGGCTGGCGCAATGGTAAAGTTGCTGCCATGTGACCCGGAGATCACGAGTTCAAGCTGCGGAAATAACCTTTTGTAGAAATGCAAGGTAAGGTTGCGTACATAAGACCTAATGCGGCCCGACCCTTCCTCGCACCCCACTGGGTTGCCCCTTTCTAAAGACTTCCTAAGCTATAATCATTTTACTTCTTCCTTTGTAAACACTATTCTTCCATCATAACAATTCCCATCAATATCATGTATATCCATAACCCTTCACATTATCCAATGCAGCCAAGCCGAGCAGCAACACTGAGCCTAATGGTCCTTGATCCATTCGATTTAATTCTTCATAGAAGCAGGATAGCTTCACTATTTCAATATTTGTACCAAAATAACAATTCAACTTTAATTATCTTTTCTTTTTCCACAGGATGATTTCTAACCACACAAATTTCTATATGATTTATTTTAGACTATAAATTTCAAAACTCTTTCTTTATTTCTTAAAATTTTGTGCTACACGTAAATGGGCTACAATATAATTAGCTCAAAAGAAAATAAAGAAATAAAAAAGGAAGAATCAGAAGGAATTAGAAAATTACTGGATGCAGAGGTGGCGATAGCGGCAACTTCACTTCCTTCTTCCCTTTAAGAAAAAACGAAAAACGAATCAAAATGCACGGATTATATGAGTATGAAAATGGAGATAAAGAAATTCGGAAACTGAAAATAAGAACAGAAAAAAAAAAAAAAAAAAGAGTGAATTACAAGAACGGAGTGGAGGTGAAGGAAGGAAGTGAAAAGTGTTGAATTTTGCGACTTCCATTAGTCTTCACATGAATAGCATGAGAGAGAGAGAGAGAGAGAGCTGCTGGATTCGAGAATTTGAGAATGGGAAATGGGCGGTGGCTGTTTGGTGTTAGAGAGGGGTTATGGGGTTAGATTAGAAGAACACAACCTTGGGAAATGTGATTAATAGACACAGCCTTGGTAATGATAAAAATTGGATTAGCATAAATAAAAAATACTGTAAATGGGATGGAATATTTCATATTTTCAGACAAACACAATTATATTGAACTTAATAATTATATACACGGACCATATTAATAGAATGGTTGAGAATTGGGATACTATACTCTTCAATATTGTGGTTTTGAATATGTCATATGAAAAATTGGAATTAAAAAATTATTAAATATATAAAAACAATCTTTTTTAAATAAATTAAAAAGTAAAGTAAGGCACATAAATTGAAACACGGTGGATTATAAGTTTTAGATTTACAACTTGTTTGGAGGGTTGTTCCTCATTGTATCGTATTGTATTGTTATTCCAAAACAATGTTTGTTTTGATTGTTTCATTAAAATTAGTTGTATTGTATTGTTAAATCCATTGTTCCGGAACAATGATAAGTCCGTTTTTTTTAAACAATCGATTTGGTGTGGTGGGATTGTTTCCTATTTTTCTTTCCAATTATGCCCTAACTTATTACTCCACAATTCTATTTTACCTTTTATCTTGTTTTCTATTTTAACTCTAAAACTCCAACTTATAACATACTTTGTTTTTTTTCCGGACCAATATTAAAGGTGTTTTGCTGCCTTCTGTTTTATTTTCTCCTAATTTGCTTGTAACTCAATTCTAATTAGTTGTGCTCCTTTGTTTTGCCTTCTTCTGTCTCGCTCCTTTGTGTCTGCTTTCTTATTGTGTTTTTCCTTCTTCTGTTTATTTTTTAAAATTATTTTTATGCATAATTTTTGATAAATTTAATATTTAAACAATTAAAGGTATTTTAGTAAACTTATCAGTTACAGTACAGTACGATACAGTCAACCCAAACAACAAGATATTATTTAACAATAACAAACAATACAATCTATCCAAACATTGTATTCATAAAACGATACGATACAATACAATACAATACATTATAAAACGATGGGGAACAATGATCCAAACAGAGTGTTAAGAACAAATAGGGTGTGTTTTGTATGTTCAATATTCCCATGTTTGGTTGACTTAAACATTATGAAAATTATTTGTCTTATGAAGTCATTTTCCTCCAATTGGACAAAAATACTTTTCTATTAAGATGAGAAAAAATATTTTTCAAAATTCTCTTTCAACTTTTTTTTTTTTGGTAATTATGTATTTTATTAATCACCAGGGAGCCCAGCCAAACTCAGGAAAATAAACATTTAACGACCTATGTAATCTTGACTTCCCTGTAGATAAAATATATGGCACTCATGTCTCTGTTTTCGTTTGTCAGGAACTCTTTTTTACCAAGTTTAGTTTTGTAGGTTGTCTTGTGTAATTTTGTTTGATTATGATTTATTTGAATATTTTATACTATTTAAATCAATATTTGAATGTTCTCGTAATTATGTACATTTTTGTTCACTCAATTATGCACTTGTTGATAGAATTACAGTATTTTTTGATAGAGTACCTTTTAATGTCCTTGTAGTTCTTGTATTTACTTTTTCAGAAAGACTTATGAGAAATGTGGTTCTTAAGCTAGAAAGACTTAGGATTTATGTGCATTTATTATTTTTGTGTGAAATGAAGAAACCCAGATAGTGAAAAATATAATATAGGACCTTATAGTGGTTCTTGGTTTTGCTAGTTTGGATTAAGTTAAGTGGCATCTTTTGTAGTGAGAAAATAAAATGCCAGGAGGACTAGACACAATTATACTAATGTTTTTCATACTATTCTTTATTCGTAAAGCTCCGTCTTTTGCTGTAAAATTTCAGCAAGACTAGTTGGAAATTGTGGATTTTGATTCTCCGAGCAAGAAAGGCATCGGATATGGGTCATCACTTATTTTAGAAACAAATTTTGTGTTCTGAGGCCTTAAAAACCTCTTTCAGTATCACCTCGATTTACGTGCACAGTCCGTGCACGTAGCCGGAAGGCCATTATGTGAAAATCTGTGAAAAATAATGAATTTTGACTTTAAAATGAATTTAAGTTGACTTCGGTCAATATTTTGGGTAAACGGACCCGTACCCGTGATTTGACGGTCCCGGAGGATCCGTAGGAAAATATGGGACTTGGGCGTATGCCCCGAATCGAATTCCGAGGTCCCAAGCCCGAGAAATGAATTTTTAAAGAAAATTATTTTCTGGAATATTTATGAGTTTTTGAAAATAAAATGTGTTTAAAATTTGATGGTATCATGCCCGTATTCTGGTTCCGGAGCCCGGTACAGGTCTTATATGTGGTTTAAGTCGAGTCTGTGAAATTTGGTAAGAAACAGACTTGAAATGACGTGAATCAGACCGTATTTGAGAAAATTGGAAAATTTGAAGTTCTTAAGTGATTTCATGATTTTGATGCTAAATCCATAGTTGTTGATGTTATTTTGGCGATTTGATCGCACGAGTAAGTCCGTAGGGTATTTTTGAGGTAGTGTACATGCTTGGTTTGGAGCCCCGAGGGCTCGGGTGAGTTTCGGATAGGTCTCGGGAGGTTTTTGAACTTAAGAAAATTGCAGAAACTGCTGTCTGCTGGTGTCCAGGTCCTTGTGCTATGCGATCGCATAGGTCGCATAGTGTAATTTCAGGGGGTCCTATTTTGTGCTATGCGATCGCATAGCTCCTTCCGCGATCGCGTAGAGTAAACTCTGGGAAGTCACCAAATTGTTCTATGCGATTGCATTGTTTCTTCCGCTATCGCAATGGGTTGAACCAAGCCTGGGAAGGGAATCATTTTCTTCTATGCGATCGCACAGCCTAGTCTGCGATCGCAGTGCCCAATCCCCCCTTACCCTATGCGATCGCATACCCTTGTCCGCGATCGCAGAGACCAATTTTGCCCAGTCATTTAAACAGTAACAGAACACATACGGGATTAACCAAAAATTCATAACTTCTTCTTCCAAACTCCAAATTGGGCGATTTTTGAAAGAGAACTTCACCACAAATCCATAGGTATGTAATCTTAGACTCATTTTCTTCAATTTACATTAACACCTTGTGACGACCCGACCCGTCGTCACGTGAGTTACCGTCCCGTTTCCCCCATTTTCTGCTTCTTTATGCTTCATTATAAGAGTCTTGTGTGAACGAGTTGATTTGGATTGGTTTTAGACGGAAATGAGACACTTAGTCTCTTTAAGGAAGGTTTGTTTTGGAAAAACCAACCGGATGTTGACTTATGCGTTAGAGGGCTCAGATGTGAATTCCGGTGATTCGGTTAGCTTCGGGGGATGATTTGTGACTTAGGAGTGCGACCGGAAGTGATTTTGGAGGTCCGGTGTAGAATTAGGCTTGAATTGGCGAAGTTAGTATTTTGGTGAATTTCGATTGATAGGTGAGATTTTGATCCGAGGGTCGGAATGGAATTCCGAGAGTTGCTGTAGTTTCGTTATATGATTTGGGATGTGTGTGCAAAATTTCAGGTCATTCGGAGGTGATTTGGTTGGGTTTTTGATCGAATGCGTATTTCGGAAGTTTTTAAAGAACTTAGGCTTGAATTCGATGAGAAATGATGGTTTTAGTCTTGTTTGAGGTGTTTTTATGATTGGAAAGGGTTTGAATGATGTTATAGGAGGTGTTGGTATTTTTTGGTTGAGGTCTCGGGGGCCTCGGGGTGATTTCGGATGGTTAACGGGAAGTTTTGGCTTGTAAAACTTAAGAATTTGCTGCTGTTTCTGGTATTTTCGCTCCTGCGGAAATGGGACCGCAGAAGCGGTACCGCAGGAGCGGGTGGAGAGTCGCAGAAGCGGGGAGGACCGCAGGTGCGGATTGGTTGACCGCATCTGCGGAGTCGCAGATGCGACAAAATGACCGCAGATGCGGATTTTGGAGATTTAATGAGATCTGCAAATGCGGAGCTTGGTCCGCAGGAGCGGAAGCCGCAGGTGCGGGGTTCCGACCGCAGAAGCGGTTATTTCCGCAGAAGTGGCCTGTTGACCGCAAAAGCGGGAGTCGCAGATGCGGCTAGGGAGCCGCAGATGCGGAAATGACTGGTCAGTGCTATTTAATTTCTCCTTCGCGAAATTTCAAAGGGTTTCATATTTTCACTTCGGACTTGGAGAATTTGGGCGAGTTGGAAGAGAGAAATCAAGGGACTTCTTTGAGGTAAGGATTTCTGAGCCTAAAACACAATTCTAAGGTGTTATTACATGAATTTAGACTGAAAAACTAAGGAATTAAGGAGTTAAAATGGAGGTAAGAGCTTGAAACTTAAGAGAGTTAAAATGGGGATTTGAAGGGTCATTTGGACTCCGATTTTGGTAATCTTTATATGTATGGACTCGCGGCGAGATAAGGAGTCCGTTGATGTTAAATTTTCTGATTTTTGAGAAGTGGGCCCGGGGCTCGGGTTTTGCTAATTTTGAGATTTTTGCTATTTTTCGATTGTTTTCGATTGGGTATTGTTCCATTGGTGTATTGTGACGTATTCGTTGTGGTTTTGATCAGATTCGACGCACGAGGAGGTCGATTTGAGAGGCAAGGGCATAGCGAGCTAGGATTTTGGCCGGCTTGAGGTGAGTAATAGATGTAAATGATGTTCTGAGGGTTTAAAACCCCGTATTTGCACATTGTAGTGCTATATTGAGGTGACTTGCACGCCGGGTAGCGAGCGTGGGGGTAGAGCACCGTTGGGGATTGTGACTTGGTCCGTCCCGGTAGATGAATATACTGCGTATTTGATTGAAATTCACTTATTATCATTTTAATTGAGCTGATTGCTATATTTGGGCTTTGTGCCAATTGATTGAATCCTTCAGGGATTGTTATTACTGGTTTCTTACCATTTTGACATCATTGAACTCAGTCCTAGTATTTAATACTGTTTTGCAAACTCAGCCACCTTTTCTTAAACTTGAAACTTAATTAACATTTTAATGAAGTTTGGACCGAATATTTCTATATGATTGTGCCCGAGGGGCTTATGTGATTTTGGACTGAGTATGGGATCGGGTTGCACGCCGCAGCGGTATGATATTGA